GGTAGGGCCCAGGCAGATTCCAGACAGGCCCCCACCTCGGCCAGAGGGGCAGCCTGTGCCACCCCCAGAGCTCCAGGTAATAACCTAGGGGCCACGCCAGGCTCGCCAGCACCTGAGCCACCGGCAACAGATAATGACGGGGGAGCTGGGCAGGCAGAGCCAACCCCTCAATCAGGAAGCAAATTAAAAAGGGGAGGAATCTCCCAGACAGACCACAACAATGAGGCCGGCCCCCTTTGCAGGGTATTGCCCGCTCTCCCCTCCCTGGCCCATTCTGCCTGCCATCTCTTGATACCCAACTCCTCTTTAATTGATCTCGAATGGGATCCAGCTCAGGGGGCTCTGAGGGGATCCTGGATGTAGGTTGGTGGCTCTGCCTTGCTGGCAAGCATGATGGCCACTTTCGGAAGCCTTGTGTGCCAGACTGGCTTGGGACTGAGCACCATATAGGGTAGAAGAGATTGTGGTGTAGTAACTGGAAGCAAAGCTCCTATGGATGGCTGTAACAAAAGGATTCATAGAGAAGACCACCAATCTCTGGGTCGCCGCTCCCTTATACTACAGAATGGAAGCCATTACATCGTAAGCAACTCATAGCCATTACTTATGTACCCAGTATCAGTCACTGAGACATCAGGGAGAGTCAAGGGCTAGCAGAAAAAAAAAAAAAAAAACTGTGCTCACATTCTGTCAGATCAGCCATTAAACAGCCCTGGATTTTAGGCTTAGGGACCAGGAGAAGTCTTCACAGAACTGTGGGGTGGGGTTGCATGAGCTGGATTTCAAAGGTTCTACATGGGCTCATCCAACAGAGGCCTAGAGAGAAACGGGGAAGAGCATTCATACAATGGGCAGCACAGGGTGTGAGAGCATAGAGTCCACGCGGAGCATGCGCTCCCTGTGCCTGGCTGGGCACTGGAGACTCAGAGGGAAGAAGCCTGGGGGTGGATGGGGGAATGGAACTTAAAGAGCAAGGGCTTTCTCTTGTAGGTAACGGGGAGATTTTGAATGTTTCTGAGCTGCACGTGACAGGACCAGGATTTAGGCACCATTAAGAGAAGAGTTTAACTTACCCAGAGGGGGGAAATGATTTTATCTCTGCCTTTGCCTTTTTCATGGCTGCTACCCAGCCCACCTTTATTCTGGATCCCACTTACTCAACTCTTGGCTGTAATAAGACTGACAGCATGGAAGGTTTCAGCCTCCTTCAGTTCTCAGCCAACCCCTTCTGCCCCTGATAGTCTCTGGCTCCTAGCCTGCTAAAGGAGACCAGGGAAACCATTTGTCCGTGCTCATGATAGATCTTTGGGGTTCAGAACCCCTGCTGTGTCCCCATACCTGCCCCAGATGGCTAGCTTAACTGCTGTCCTCTCTAACTGAGAGGCTTTTAGAAGCTTGGATGGCAAGGAGACCTTTCTCTTTCTCTTGGCCCTGGCTTCTCCACTCCCTTCACTAAGGAAGGCCCTGGGAGGAAGCCTGTGTGGTATGAAGAGATAGTTCTTGCCCCCAAGGAGCTGAAGCAGCAGGGGAGATAAGACAACAGCCCCATGCAAACAGAGCATGAGGCAATTCAGCTAGGGAAATTCCAGGAGCAGGCCACTGATGTTCGGATAAGAGCAGATTCCTAGAGAAGCAGATTCAGAGCCTGGGGAGGGAGGATGGTCGACTTTCCCCAGGCAGGGATGAGTGGCAGCTGTAGACATAGCCTGAGTCACAGAGCGAGGACCAGGTGTGTGAAGAGCATCCGTGGATCCAGCCAGCTGGGACCATGGTTTTTTTTTTTTTTTATAGGAACCAGAGGAAGCAAAGATTGCAGAGTTTAAGGCCAAACATTAGAGTCTGTGGTGTCACAGCGCAGGAGAGCTCTGCCTGGGTTAGTGAGCAGGAAGGGGGTGGCACTGAGGGTGTTGAATCTGTTTTTGGTCTGCAGGACCAGCTTAGGTGGTAGGCAAAGAGGGGTCAGAAAACCCATAGGAGGGTTAGGGTGGGAGCCCAGTGGCTGAGCGCTTGATCAGACCTGATGTTCTGTCCTCAGCATGGGAAGAGAATGAGTGAGCGAATATGAGAGAGACAGAGAGACAGAGACAGATCCCATAGGCAACCAAGAACCCCATCAAGTAACTAAAGTTCCTCTGGCACTTTCCTAGATTTTTCCCAGGTTCCTCTTCATTCGTTCATTTAACAGATAATTACATACACAATGCCAGGCACTGTTAGCTTCCATCTCTAGCCATCTGAGACCAGGTGAGAGGGCACAGGCTTTCACCCCCACACACCTGGAGTTCAGCACATACCCCACTGCCCCCCCCCCAGCTAATCCAGTAGCTCCTCCTTTGGGACAGGCATGTGGAGGGACCTCAGAGGTGCAGGCAGTAGGGAGGTTTGGGGCAGGAGACAGTCAGGGAGTGGGAAAGAAGAAGGGGCAACTGAATGCACGGAGAACCTGGGATTGTAGGTCATGGGGGCTGGAGAATAAGGAGAGAGGGGAGATGAGTTAGAGATAGGCCTCTGGAGCTGATGATGGGTGTGAACGGAGGGGGAGTGAGGGAGGGACAAATTAGAGAGCTGGAGAAGGAAGCAGAGTCTTAGCAGGTGGGGTGGTGGGAGGGGGACAGGAGGCAAACTCGGAGGAAATGGGCCCAGGCTCTGGAGACAAGAGTCTGGGTGTCTGAGCTGCCTGGGAGCCACCTGGAAGGTGTAGGGAGCGGTAACATCAAACTCAAGTTGGAGGGTTGGTTCCTGAGCGAGCCGGGGCTGGCTCCAGTGGGAACTGAAAGCCAGTTCCAGGGACCTGAGACTGTCATTAGCCATGCTGGTCTTCAGCTTCCTCTAGCTCCTTCTCTGTTCTTCTCTTAGGACCAGAATAGGACTGAGGATAAGGACTGGTTCGGTATTATCCATGGAACCCATCATCCCACACTGCATTGGTGGCAGGAAAGCGCATTGTTGGGAGATGAGGATAGACGTGGAAAGGGACAGGTCCCCTGACAATCAGGATCCTATGAGATGCAGTGCTGTTCCGCTCCCCTCCCCACCAGGCAGGCTGGCTTCACACCTCTGTGCCTGGTCCACCAGCCCTGGGGGATGATATACAGGCCCTGCAGGTCCTGGTCCAGAGCTGCGTGTTCTTTTCCTCTGTCAAATTCCCCCAGCCCCAGATTCTCCTGTCTTCTGGACTGGACCTGCTACCTAAGCATATGGAACCGATTGAAAGAATTTGTATGCTCACCTTATAATTTATGCAAATCAACTCTGTAATTAACTATAATTTGGAGGCATCCTTTGGTATTTCAGACATTTATCCATGAGGAAATGCCCTGGTGATAATACTCCTGTATTAACATTATTTACTCCACCTGTGTGGTCTCCTGAGTGCCGTCCCCCCTCACTGGGATTTTCTGGGCTGGAAGGTGGGGAGGCACAGGGAGGCCTCTCCTTGGAGCCAGCTTGGGTCTTGCTGCACAGTCGCCTGCCCATGTGCCTGCCCTGTCCTCTTAAATTTGTAGAGGACCGGAGGTGCAGCTTTGCCTTCCAAGTCCCCCCATCACCTTATTCTCTCCTGCTTGATGGGTGGCTTTCTGCCACCTCAGTTTTCTCATCTCTGAAATGGGGAGAGGAAGAACCTGTTGGGGCCTTTACTCGATAATTACTGAAAAGCTAATGAAAAGACTGGGAATCCCCAGTCTGGAGATTGCTGGGAGGAGATGGAGGAGGAGTTAGGGTGAGGGTTCCCTGGCTCACCTGTGGGAGGGATGTAGCAAGCTAGCCTTGAGGTGCTGGGCTCTGTGTGGGGGTGGGGTGCACCTGTCCTCAATGTTGAGGGCTCCTATGGCTGGGAATGGGATGTGTCCTATGGTAAGGCCCCAGGCTGCTCCCCCATGTGGGTCAGAAGGCCCAGCTTCAGGACAACGGCCTCTGGTTTCACCTCCATTCTTTTTTCCTGGTCTTGTGTCTCTCTGCTCCAGGACACACTCTAGGCAGCCAGTGGGGCACCCTAAATGAAGAGCCTCTAATTGGAAGGCATCTGGACTCACCTCTAGGCCCTTGCCTGCTTTCCAGTCTCCAGCCTCTTTGCTTTCCTATGGATCAGGCCCATGGAGGGCTTCAGCTATATGTAGTCTTCGGTGACCCTTTGTCTGCCCCAAGCCAGATGAGAGAGGCTTCTGTCCCCATTTGGGAATGAGAGGTCCCAGGCTCCAAATGTTTTACATTGGCTCCTCCTGGGGGCTCCAAGTTGGGATTTGAGTAGAGCAGATGTAAAGCACTACAGGGTGAGGGTGGGGATAGAACAGGCTCCTAGAGGTAGGCAAGACTTATTGGAGTAACCAGAACGCTGTCTAGGAGCTTTTAGGGGAAGCCTGGCTTGGAGCTGTGTGTGTGTGTGTGTGTGTGTGTGTGTGTGTGTGTGTAAGCATGTGTGTGAGTGCGTGCATGTGAGAGTGTGTATGAGTGTGTTTGAGAGTTAGTGAATGTGTGTGAGAATATGTGTGAGTGTGTGAGTGAATTATGTGAGTGTGAATGTGTGTGTGAATGTATGTGAGTGTGAGTGTAAGTGTGTGTGGGTGTAAGTGTGGGTGAGAGTGAGTGAATGTGTGTGTGTGTGTGTGTGTGTGTTTCGGGCCTATTAAAAAAAATGGAGCTTCTTTAAAAAAAAATAATGGGGCTTCTTTTCTTTCCCACCAAGTCCAAGTCAATGGAAGAAAAACCTCAGAAGCTCAGGGAGGCGGGTGGGGGGTTTGGGGGGTGGGGAGAGGCTGGAATTCAGCGTCCCAGCCCCAGCAGTGTTCTCTCTGAACAATGTGCTCATTTCCTCCATCCCACAGGAACCACTTGGTCCCTCTCCCATTGCCCACCCTGGACCCTGGAGAAGGCAGTCCTGTGCTGGACTTTGTCCCCACCCCCAGGCTGCCTTTTCCAGCTGCAATCCTTTCCTGGCAGCCCTCACTTGCAGCTCCCCCCATGAGAATCAGGCCACTGCTTCCTGGATTATCCTAAAAGCCTCTGAGGCCGTGAGGACTTGGCAGCATCCTGCCTGCTCTCCCACCTCCCTCTTGGCGCTGACTGTCGCCTCCTTTATAAAGCCTGGCTCTCCTGCCACCCCACTTGCCCCTCGTTGCTGCTGCCAGCTCTTGGGCTCCATGGACTGGTAAGAAAGGCTATGCCCTGTCTAGCATAGGGAACCTCCCGCAAAGATCAGGTCTCCACTCTAAAGAGACCATAGATGTGGGTCTGGGGAGCTTGATACTTTCTCAGTTGAAGAGTGGGTGGGGGGGGGGTAAAAAGGAGATCTGTGGGGAAGGGAGGACCCAAGAGGATCCCTGGGAGGTCTTTGGAATGGGTTGGGCTGAGATCTGGGCAAGATGTGGGGCAGGGATTCAAGACTGGGGACTTCAGCTTGAAAGAAAGTATGAGGAAATATGAATAGATAGATGTACACTGCACACACACACATTCACACACACACACACACACACACACACGATGTTCTAAGAGGTGCTTATTCTTTAGACTAAAACAGATGATAGAGCCTAATAATATTTGGATTTATCAAATAATCAGTACCCAGCACAGCTCTTGGCCCTAAGAGACTCTCAATGGCCGTTAAATACAACTACTTGACCCCGTATCTGGACTGTGGTCAGTTATCCTGGTACCTAGGGAAGTTGATAGAGACAGGAGCAAAGTGCTGGTGTCCGGGTCACCAGCTTGAAATTTGGGAGACACAGTGTGGAATTGGGGGGAATGAGGAGTAGGAAACAGTGAGTAACTAGGAACCCAGGAATTAGGAGGTGGGGTCTAGCTTGCTCTGCCTCTAACTTGCTGTGTGATTCTGAGCTGTGTGTCTCCGTGTTGAGGGGTTCAGTTTTTCTATGAAGTGCTTGGATTAGTCAGTTGATATTGTTAGAACAATGTTGTTATCCTTTGAGACAGTGTTTCATGTAGCACAGGCTGGCCTTAAACTTACTATGTAGCTGAGGATAACCTTGAATTTTACTGAGCTTCTGTCTCTACTTCCCCAGAGCTGGGATTCCAGGTGTTCATCACCACACCCAGTTTTAATAGGTGCTGGGGATGGAATTGAGGGCTCCATTCATGCTAAGCAAATACTCTACCAACTGGGCTGCATCTCCAGCCCCCCACGGTGTAATCTCTACAGGCAATGTAGGGTCTAGAAAGGAATACCTGTGTGGAATGTGATTTGTTCCAGGAATTCAAAATGGATCAATTCGGTACAAGATATCAGTGGCTTGGACCTGGAGGAGGGGGGGTCTGATAAAAATATTGTTCCCTTCACCTTAAGGGCCTAGGAGAGCAACCACTTCTGTCATAGTGGAGCCAGACAGAATAGCAGCTAGAATGTGGGCTTTGGAGCCTTACCTATCTGGACTCAGTATCCTCTTTTATCTGTTAGCATCTCTGTAATCTTGGGCAGGTCATTTAGCTTCTTTGATCCCTGGCTTCCTCATCTGTACAATGGGAATGATAATAATAATTACTTTGTTGCATGCTCATGAGAATTAGGTATTTGTGGGAAGTAAAGAAATGTTGTTTCTGATGAGCATACCAACCAAGGAGGCTGCTACAGGCACAAAATAAACCACTTACTATAAAAGATGAGGCTGGCAGGCATAGGAGACAGAGACTTGGGAAAATCTAAGACTTTGAGAGAATGAAAGGAAGGAATAGAAGTGGGCCGTGTCCTGAGCACATCTTGGTTTGTGTGATGGGCAGTTCCCTTTCCAGTCAGGCTGAGAACACGGGCTATGGTGACCTCAGCAGTCAAGTTAACATTATTAGATCACAGCTATCATTGGGTAGGAAAACATCTAGCAAGTGGGAAGTGGAATGAGTCGGAAGCAGAGGAATGAGGTCCAGGTTGTCTGAAAGAAAGTGCAGAGAGGTTGAATCAGACTTTCCTATGGTTGAATGTCATGCTGATGAGCCAGCCTCAAGCAGTTTCAGGGTCTTTGCTTCAGGATGGGGCAGTGTTAAGGGGAACCTGCAGCAGGTTTTCTATCACTCTGTTCCTAGTTGCTTAAAAGAAAAAAAAAATGGACAGCACTGGGAAAATAAGGCAGTCTGATAGCTATAAATGGACCTTAGCTTTAGCTCATCAGTGGTTCTCAACCTTCCTAATGGGACCCTTTAATACAGTTCCTCATGTTGTGGTGACCCAACCATTCAAATCATTTTGTTATTACTTTATAACTGTAATTTTGCTACTGTTATGAGTTGTAATGTAAACATCTGATATTTGGGATATCTGATATGCTACCCCCCCCCAAGGGGGTGGAGACCCTCCGGTTGAGAACCACTCCTACAGCAGATGCTTTGACTCCAAACAGCTGGGAAGACCGGAATCCAGGGGTCTGATCAGTCTTGCTCCAGGAGCCATAAGCAATCAAGTCAGGCTCTGCTCCCCACACTCCCCACATTGTGAACCCCTAACTCTGCTCTGGAAGTAACTATGAACTGGATGCAAACCCCACTAGTTAGGATTGGGAGGTTGACTGAGTGGACAAACCTTGTTGATAAAAAGTATGAATTTGGAGACAAAAAGCCAAAGGGATTTTTAAGAATTTTTGCTATGTAGTCAGTCCTAAGGACTAAGAGGTTCTGGCTGATCACCAGTCTCTCCCTGACATCTTCTCAAATGCCCACCCATCCTTCAATCCTCCAGGTCGGCTGAGGCACAGAACCCTGGAGGGCCAGTGTAAAAGATGTAGCGCTGGGGCCAGATGTTGGGTTCGTGAACCTCTAGTCCAAAGATCTTTCTGAATGAAATTTAATCTGTACGTGCTTCAGGGAAAAGATTTATTTTAAAATGATTCAGGGTTCATTCTGTTTCTAGCAGAGGCCTCGCGGAATTTGCTCTTCTAGGTACCATATTTTTGTTTTGTTTTGTTTTTTTGTTTTTTGTTTAAGCCCTTACAGCTTGTACCCAGGTTGTCTGGGTGAAGGACTCCAGTTTTAAAAAATACCAAGGTGCTCAAACAGCTAAAGCGCTGACCGCTCCCTAGTGCACTTGGGGAAGTTAAACGCATACATTGACGTTCAGAGGGCTGACTGGATTAGATTAAGCTGAATAGTCAGTGTGTCAAAATGAGGACTGAAAAATGGGCATGGTGGTTCACACCTGTTGGGAGGTTGAGGCAGGAAGATTGCTGCATAGTCGAGGCCGGTATGATTAACCGAGTGATTTCCCAGCCAGCCTGGGCTTCGGAGTGAGAAGCAACAAGCAAAGAAAGACGAGTCCGCAGTGGCGAGATTAAATCAGTCTAAATTACAGAACTCTTGGAAATTGATTGTGAAGAGTGCTTAGGGAAAGCCAGAAGCGATAAGGGAAGAAACAACGAAAATCGCTCTGAAAGTCCGTGTCGAAAGGGTCACCTAGGGAGGTCAACGCGCGCGCGGTGTTGGGAAGACAACGCTACTTCTACTCAGGCCATCGGGGCAGAGAGTTGGGGGGAACTCTGAAACCCACCTGGGTTCGAGGTGGGGAATCTCAGGATTTCCTCCCTTTCGCATCTGGAGGATTTTGTTAGGTGAACATGTACCAGAATGTGGCTTTGCATATGTGATTTTATTTCCTCCAAGGAATTCAAGACCTTTCTCTAAACTTAGATACTCAGCTAAGACTCGGAAAGAAGCTGTGGCAAAAAGGTTTCGTTCAATCCGTTGCTGACGTGTTCCTTCTCGGGGACATTCAGGTGCCTGCCTGCCCAGTCCTCACACCCAAGTGTACGGAAGCAACCCCGCGTCCAGGCTGAGCAACCCGGACCGGGAGGGAGGCGGCGGGTCCAGGTGGCAGACTTCGATGCCGCCTAAGGGAAGGTGGAGAGAGTACACTGAGAGGATCTGGGGACCAATGAGACCCAAGACTGGGGAAGACATTGAGGGGTTGGTGACCACCCAGAAAGTCCAGTGGCCAGACAGGGAAGATCTCAGGAAAGCGGGAGGGGAAAGTTCGGCGCCTGGTGGTGGCGGAGAGAGGGCAGCGATGTAGCAAAAACACACTTCTCGTGGCCTAGCTTGGGGGTGGGCCTGGCAGAAACTTGGTCTTCAAGTCTCTTTTCCACTCATTTCTACCACTGCGAGGCCAGGACGCGCGGGTCAAACGCACTTATAACCACGCGCGCCCTAAGGAAAGCTCGATAGCATTCCCAGGACGCTTGGTCCTTCGTCCCATCCCGGGTCTGAGCCGTGTCCCCCGCCGGACCGAACCAGCTCCAGCTCGGGGCTAGGTTTCCATGGGACTGGACGGGTCTCTGAGAATGGGAAAAACTCCCAAGTCAGGGAGTGGTGGGGACCTAGGAGGAGGGAGAGGGAGGGAAATGGCCTGGTTAGCCACCCTTCTCGCCCGCCCCCTCCTCGCGCGGGGTTGGGCCTCGCCTCCAGCCGAGCCAGCAAGGGTTAAAGGCGGCCGCAGGTGAGGTGGGCGGGGCCGCGGGTTCGGGGGAAAAAGGAGCGCAGGGGAGAGGATGAAGGCAGAGAGCGCGGTGAGTCACGGGCGGAGCTGGCCTCGCTCGCTCGCTTACTCGCTCACCGGCGCCCGCCCGCCCGCCCGCCCTCCACCCTCCTGCGGGCTCTCACCGCCTCCACCGTCGCCGATCGCCCGGTCTGGTCGCAGCCCCAGCTTGCCCTCGGCTCCAGTCCCAAGTCGCCGAGAGCCGGTCAGCGCGCAGGGCCCATGTGCGCCCGTCTTTAGCGCGCCAACCTGCGGTACCCCGAGCCCGAGCGCAACCGCCAGGTAGGAGCCCCGGTCCGCGCGGCCACGGGCGCGCGCTGCGGAGATCCGAGGGGGAAAGGCGCTCGGAACACACCGCAACTTGCGCTGGCCTCATGGGGAGGGTGGTCGCAAAGGATCCGAGAGGCTGAGAGCCCAGAATGAGGAAAAACTGGGACGACGGGAGGGACTGGAGAGACCAAGGGAGTTTGGGAACTGGGGAAACTGGAGCAACTGGGACAACCGGAGGACTGGGACACTGAAAACCATGTTTGAACGGAAGTGCCCACCGCCTGGGCACTGGGAATCGGGAAAGGCAGATGTCCAATGCGACGTCTCTACCCTCTTTCTCAAATTGGGGAGCCGATGTACTCTCTCTTTTAGTGCACCTTGATTGCAGGCCATTGCACTCTAGGCCTGGGCTCAAGCTCTCTGTCCGGAGAGAGACCCCTGTGCAGCCTGGGTCATCTTAGCCTTCCCATCCCCCCCCAGACCCTGGGGCAGTTCCCAGGCGCCAAAAGCTATTAGGGTCCCAGGCCTCACTGCTCCGGCCCAACCCCTTCTGGGCGGCCCCGCCCCGGCCTGAGGCTCCCTCCATTCCTGCTGCTTCACCCTGTTCCTTTCTTGTGGTAAGGCTGCCAGAGCCTGAGTAGGCACCCGAGTACTCTTCTTCCCTGTCTCTCCCAGACTATCAATGCTACCTCCCTGGTCCCAGAGGCGGGAGGTCGGTAGGGTCAGCTGGGCCCTGCCTGGGGAAGGCCCTAAATCATTGGCCTCCTGCACACCAGCCCACACACGGGCAAGATTCCAAGGTTCTAGGGAGAGATGGAGAGAAGACTGGGACCTTCGGGTCATAGATTTGTGGTGGAGAAAGCAGTGGAGGTTTTAAGGTTTCTTGATTTTTTTGTTTTGTTTTGTTTTTTTTTTTGTTTGTTTGTTTGTTTTTTGGAAACAGGGTCCGAGCCCAGGCTGACCTCAGAAGCCTTCTGTCTCAGCTTCCTGAGTGCTGGGATTATTTCTTAGGTGGTTCCCACCATGCTTAGTAGCTTCTCTCTACCTTGCCTTTTTGTTTTGTTTAATCTACCTCACCTCTTTCCTTTCTCCCTTCCTTCTTTTGACACGCAGACCAGGCTGGCCTGGGACTCTGCATTCTTCTGCTTCAGTTTCGTGAGTGCTTAGATTGAAGGCTTGCATCGCCACGCCCAGGCCAGATCGCTAGGTTCCTGCTGGGCCTTAGGTTTCTAATGTTTTAAGGAAGAGAGCTGGCTCGCAGGTACTGAACAGTGTATGCTGGTTGACTGAGTGATGAAGTGAACATTTGTTTCTAGTCACTATTCCACACTCTGCTCTCTTAAATAAGAGCAGGCTCAGGACAGCAGTAGTTCTCCACACTTGGCTGGGCAGTAGAGTCTTCTAAGAGGCTTCCAGCACTTGCCCTGGAGTTGAAAGATAAGGGATGCCCGTCCCTTTCAAACTCTGGTGCTGCCTTCCATAAGGGAGCAGCGGTTATATGTCTGTGAGCTTCTAACAAGCTCTTATCTGGGTGATTCCATCTCTGGTGATCCCTCCCAGCTTCATATGGAGGGAAAGGAGTGGGTGTTGGGTGAGGGAGTGGGTTTGGTGGGCAGAGTCAACCAAGCTGGGCAGGGAGCAGGGAAGTGTTTAGAGATTAAGTGCTGTTCTATGTTGTTACTGAGGGTCAGTGATTGGCTTTGACAAAAGGCTTAGGACCTGTTCTGGGCTTTCTGAAGGGCAAATCACCTCAAGCAGCCAGAAGCATATCCCCGCTCTATCTGTCCAGAATTAGGCTGGGGCTTAGAGGGCTCTAGATCATCCATTTAGGTTGGCAGCAGGTCCGCAGGGGAAATGCCCAGGCAGCTATGTAGAGATGGTTCTGGCGGCATTGGGACCAACCCGACTCCAGGGTGAGCTGAGTCGTGAGGGAGGAGTCACTTAGAGGAAAGACCATTCTGTTCCCCGAATTAGATAGACTTCACATTCTCACTCTTTCCTAGCATTCCCACGCTCTAACTGATTTGTAGTCTACACTCAGAGGCACGCCCTTCTTTTCCTCTTAGGGGCTCAGAAGGATCTGGGTTAGGAAGGAAAGTAAGCAGGTCACCTTCCTTATGTCTCATTTTTGCCTCCTCTAGGTCCCACCTGAGGTGCCCTTGACCGTCCCTGCCCTCACCCCAACCCGGATCCCGGCAATGCTAACCGCTGTCTGTGGCTCTCTGGGCAGTCAGCACACCGACGCCCCTCACACATCACCACCGCGCCTAGATCTGCAGCCTCTCCAGACATACCAGGGTCACACGAGCCCGGAGGTCGGGGACTACCCCTCCCCGCTGCAGCCTGGAGAGCTGCAGAGCCTCCCGCTGGGCCCGGAGGTAGACTTCTCACAGGGCTATGAGTTGCCAGGGGCCTCCTCGCGGGTAACCTGCGAGGACCTGGAAAGTGACAGTCCCTTGGCTCCGGGACCCTTTTCCAAGCTCCTGCAGCCGGACATGTCACATCATTACGAATCGTGGTTCCGGCCAACTCACCCAGGCACGGAGGATGGCTCTTGGTGGGACCTACATCCCGGCACCAGCTGGATGGACCTCCCCCATACTCAAGGAGCGTTGACCTCACCTAGCCACCCGGGGGCGCTTCAGCCTGGTTTGGGAGGATACGTCGGAGACCACCAGCTTTGTGCTCCGCCGCCCCACCCGCACCCGCATCACCTCCTCCCAGCCGCGGGTGGGCAGCACCTCCTAGGGCCACCCGACGGGGCTAAGGCCTTGGAAGCGGCGGCGCCAGAGTCCCAAGGGCTGGATTCCAGTCTGGATGCGGCGGCCCGACCCAAAGGCTCCCGGAGGTCTGTGCCGCGCAGCTCAGGGCAGACCGTGTGTCGCTGCCCCAACTGCCTGGAGGCGGAGCGACTGGGGGCTCCGTGCGGGCCCGATGGGGTCAAGAAGAAGCATTTGCACAACTGCCACATCCCAGGCTGCGGGAAAGCCTACGCCAAGACGTCGCATCTGAAGGCGCACCTGCGGTGGCACAGCGGCGACCGTCCCTTCGTGTGCAACTGGCTTTTCTGTGGCAAACGCTTCACGCGCTCCGACGAGCTGCAGCGCCACCTTCAGACCCACACCGGGACCAAGAAGTTCCCCTGTGCGGTCTGCAGCCGAGTCTTCATGCGCAGCGACCACCTGGCCAAGCACATGAAAACCCACGAAAGCGCCAAAGAGGAAGCTGCAGCAGCGGCCCAGGGCGAGGCCAAGGCCGGTGGCGCAGTGGAGCCGCCCGGGGGCAAAGGCAAACGGGAGGCTGAAGGCAGCTCGGCGTCCTCCAACTGAGCCCTGCAGATGTCGCATCCCTGCAGATCTTTTAGGGGGGCGCTCTGAGTAAGAGGGGAAGGTGGTTATTTATTGATGGTGGGGGACAGGGAGAGGGGCGCTAGGTTTTGGGGGTTTTTTGTTGTTTGTTTAGTTTCTGGGGCTAGGTTGGAGACTATTTGACTGTTTAGGCTGCCAGGAGCTCAATGCGCCCCTCGCTTTCTCACTATTTAACCCTCCCCTGAGTTGCTGAAGGGTTAGGATGGAGCACCCCTACCATTTGGAGGGGTGCGACTAGTAGAGATGGCACGTCCCAGGAGCTGAGGGGAAGCGAGACTGGCTCGGGGCGTTGGGGGTAGCTGTCTGGACATGTCTTTAGCTCCTGGGAACCCGGACATAAAAGCACCTCGGAGCCGCCCTAAGACCTAGGTCCCTTTCATCCCCTGCTAGTGCTTCTCCTAAAATTTCTGGAGAGAGAGCAGAGATGAGTTGGGGGAGCCTGGGGTGGCTCTCCTTATGGGACTGTCTATCTAGCTTGGAGGGTTGTTAGTATAGAAAGAACGCCCTTCAATGGATTCCTTATAAACCCTTCCATACTCGGTCTAAGAGAGCCAGGAAGGTCACAGCTTCACAGCCAGAGCTGTGAGATGGAGGTCAAAGTTACATGGGGAGAGGGCTCCAGAAGGGCGGTCCTCTTACAAAATGGAGGTTTGGCCGTGGTGGGGGTGGGAGAACAAATCCATTCTTCCCTCTTCAACTCCAGTTCAATCCTTAACTCTTAGACCTTTGAAAAGAAATCAAATTCAGTAGTCCCCGTTCCCCCATCCATTACCCTAGGTCTTTTCTAAAGTCAGCCACCAGCATCAGAGTTGACAAAGACTCGCCTAACACCCCCCTTTTCTTTCCCTTTGGGGATGAAAGGGGAAGGAGTCCTTCGACTGGGGTTGTCCTAGCAGAGGGACTACAACAGAAAACCCTACCCGTCTGGACCCCCGTCTCTCTCTTTTTAGCTTGACCCTTCCAGGTTCCCTCCACTGCTATAGAGTCCGCCCTCTTCCATCCCCAGTGGGAAATCTTCCGTATGAATTGTTATCCACTGGAAGGGATTCTAGGAAGCCGTTTCTTTATCCCCCTTCTTAGATGCTAGAGATACATTTGGGTTTTAATCACAGGGTGGGGAGGGTAGTTTTCTGCCTGGCAGGTGCAGGACTCTGGGGCTGGGGGCACTCTCAGGTTTGAGGTAGAGGCCTTGAGTCCCTCCAACCTCTCCTTGCTCTCTTCTCTCCACCCAGAACCCTCTGCAGGGATTAGCTGTGTGTTGACTTTTTTAAGTTATAAGCAAAGGGTATTTTATTTAATAATTAGGGTGTGAGTGTGTGTGTGTGTGCTGTCTGTACCTGTATGTATGTGTGTATTTCTCTACTGAGCCTGGGGTCTCCTGAGACCCCATCTTGTTCACCCCGTCCAAGGTCTGGGGCCTAGACCCACAGTATCTCTTCTGCCATTGGGATGCTAGAGCCCAGTGCAAGGACTGGGAGTTGTATGGGAAGTAGGGGCTGGGATCTGGGTAGGAATATGTGTTTGTGTAGAAAGGGCTCCTCCTTCAAAGGGACAGGGTGACTCCCTGTGGGACTTAGGGGCCTGAGGTAGTCTAAGCATAAGGTTCTTTCTGTGTTCCCCCTCTTTTCCTCACCTCCTGCTGACCTAGCCAGCGGCCACCTTCCTTAACCAGGAGGGCTGAGAGAGAGCGAAGCTGGCCATGCCTGCAGACTGTCTGGCTAGGTGCAGGGGGGGGAAAGAAGGGCACCGTGGGTGTGGGATGCTCTCTCCTCCACCCATCGAAACCAGCCACCCTTCTCCCTGTGCTACCAAGGCAACCTTTTCCAGTGACCATTCTTAGGGGAACTCCTATATGGGTGTGCATGCTCCCCCTTATAGAGCCCTGAACCCTAAGATCTGCAGGGAGGCTTTGGATAGTTTTTTGTCTGCCCTGTTCTTTATCGATCTAGGTTTCTCAGCTGCCTGCCTTTCTAGGCAGCCCCCCCCTCCTAGAGGAAAATGTAGGATTTGTTTTTCTTTAACTGCTGTGAACCCACTTGTGGGGGGGGAGGAGGAGGCAGAAACAGCCTGTGTTTTTTATGCAACAATAAAGTCATCAACCAACCATGTTCTTGCTTTATTTGTCTTCCAGCACAGCCTCCTTTTTTTTTTTTTAATTCTTATTTATTTATTTATTTATTTATTGACTTGGTCCCTCCATAGTGAAGATTGGGTAGGGAGATCCTTGGGCAAGCATCACCTCTATTCAATTGGTTGGGTCAGAGCTTGGATCTGAGCCTATCCTGGAAGAGGTAAGGAGAGAAAGGCTGTTTCTGGATGAGTAGTCTCTGGTACTCATCTGTGGCGACAAGGGGGTTTCAAAACGTTTCCTCCATATTCCTATTCAACTTCTAAGTCCTCCCTCTCCTAAGATCCCCCTCCCTTCCAAGTCCTTGCTGACCCCTTGGCTCCCTCTCCCCACCTCCATGGGAGCATGCATGTCAGCCGGTCCCTCTGGCTTCCAGTGAGGTGGGGGTGACTGACAGCGATTTCTTCACCCAGGACGATCCCTATCAGGGACAAGGCGATGAAAGGCAGCCCCGATATCTGATGGGCACCTGCCCAGCTGGAAAGTATGAAGGAAAGGTTGCTACTACTACTCAAAGCAAAAAACCTGTCAGGGTTACGAAATGGCAGTGTGCACAGACGCAGCCTCACGGGACTCACTGTCTTCAGGGAGACTAGAAATGCCCACCCATATTTGATACCCAATCACGACGAGACGTCGAGTGAGTGAAAGCAACATGACTGCAGAGTCCCAGTGTTTGGAAGGTGACAGGAGCTGCTTTTGTTTTGGCTTCCTGTCTCTTCAGGACAAGGCTGGTCATTGTGTGCTTTCACCTTCCAATGTACCTTTCTATTTATTTACTTCTCCAAATGTATTGTTTTCCCTTCATGGGATTCTGAGCCCCTATAACCCCTAACCCAGTTTCTCCAGTCAAATCTGGTTCTCAGATTAGCCCATCCTATCACATGTCTGAGAGATTTGGGGGCCTCAGGGTTTAAGGGACCCCTGGAAGGGGGCATCAGGATGGTTTAGGGACTATGGAGAACACCAGACTGGTTGGGGGGTGCACCTGTTTTCTTCTGTTACTGGGAGGAACAGCTTCAGAGCCTTGCTTACCTGTGACCTCCTGCCTGAGGCAATCCTTTGGGGGCACTTTAGTCTTCCTGGTTCTAGGGGAATTAGACCCCAGAAACCTGGTGAGTTCCCCCCTTTTCCCCATATCTGCCCTTAGGGACAGGAGGGCAGCTGTAGGGCCGGCTGGGCTTGTCTGGGCAGGGCCAGGGCCCTCCCTCCTCCCCTTGCTACTCCTCCAGCTGACCTGCATTCTTAGCAGGGGCCTTTGGTGGGGCTCTGATGCAGGCTTGATCCTTTGCAATGCTGCCTGGCTGGCCTGGGCCCCCTGCAGGAACCCAGAGTCACCTATGACCCCTAAGAAGTGGTACCCCAGCAGGACTATAATAGGCTGAGAGGGAGGGAAATCATCCCGTCCGGATTGACCTCTTTGAGTCTTCTCCTAAACAGAGAAGTGAAGTAGAATATCTCTAGGGCGGGTGAATGAAGTCACAAGTGGAAACGTGACAGAAGGCAGTCCCGGAACGCAGCCTGGGGTTGCTTAGAGTCTGCAGCCTCCACTTTTCTGCTTTTCCGGTTGCCTCCTCCTTTGGCCTGTCCCCGCCCCCCAGCGGCCATCTGGGGAAGTGCAGAAGAGGCGCCTTCTCAGCTGCCTCAAGGCTGTAGGGAGGTACAACCCGACCGTCCAATGGCAACTTTGCACCCTTCCTCCAAGACGCACCGAAGCAGCTTTTACATCCCCAACAATCCTCTACTACTTTATGAATAATACCAGCAATGTAAATTTAAAAAGAATCTTAGGAACAAATCAAAGAACTGTTAGAACTAATTGATAAAGTCACAGAAAGCAATCAACAGACAACAATAAGAACTATTTTCTTTTTTTTTTCCGAGACAGGGTTTCTCTGTATTGCTTTGGAGCCTGTCCTGGAACTAGCTCTGTAGACCAGGTTGGTCTTTAACTCACAGGGATCCATCTGCCTGTCTCTGCCTCCCAAGTGCTGGGTAGAGGCATGTGCCACCAACTCCCAGGAATAAGAAATATTTCTTAATTTTTTTTTTTTTTTAATGTGGCTGTTGGATCCCCTGGAGCTAGAGTCACAGGCTGATGTGAATTACCTGGTTTAGGTCTAGGTCCCAGGACCCTTTGGTCCTCTCTGCAAGAGCAACAAGTACTCTTAACTAATAAGCTATCCTTCCAGCTCTTGAGAAATATTTCTAGCCAGGTGGTAGTGGTACATGCCTTTAATCCCAGCACTTAGGAGGCAAAGGCAGGTGGATCTCTGAGTTCTAGGGTGCTTGGTCTACAGAGTGAGTTTGGGAGAGCCAGGGCTACACAGGGAAACCCTGTCTTGAAAAACCAAGATGGGGGAGGTTTCTATATACTACCACCAAAACATTCAAAAAGGGAAATAAAAGAACAATGCCTTTTACAATAACCATAAAAAAAGTACAAAGGACTCAAAGAGAGGGAAATTTGTACATTGAAAAACAAATTTATTTTGACTCAGAGACTCCTGCTCAGGATGGCATTGAACTCCCTCAGTAACCAGGGATACCCATGAACTTCTGATCCTCCTGGAATTACAGGTCTTCTCCACCACACCCAATTTATGCAATGCTTAGGATTGAATCCAGGGCTCTTGCATGCTAGGCAAGTACTCTACCAACTGAGCTACAGTCCCAGTCCCAGACACTAAAAAGCTGATTAAAGAAATTGAATGCGGCGGAGCAGTGGTGGTACACGCCTTTAATTCCAGCACTTGAGAGGCAGAAGCAGGTGGATCTCTGTGAGTTCAAGGCCAGCCTGGTCTACACAGCAAGTTCCAGGACAGGCTCCAAAGCTACACAGAGAAAACCTGTCTATAAAAACTAAAAAAGAAAGAAAGAAATTGAAGAATGCATGTGTGTGTGTGTGTGCGCGCACACACACACACACACACAC